GATACCTTCAGGCCTTGGCCTCCAAAATGACAGAAGAGCTGGAGACTCTGAGAAATTCCAGCCTGGGGGCTCGAGCCACGGTAAGAAACCTTCTGCTTTTGGGGCTCTTCTCTTCATACAATCACTGTTCACAATGCACATACACGCTGAACTGTCAAAAGGCAATGAAAGCTAGCAGTATCTGTATGCTTTCTCATTAAGCTAGCAGTATCTGTATGCTTTCTCATTAAGCTAGCAGTATCTGTATGCTTTCTCATTAAGCTAGCAGTATCTGTATGCTTTCTCATTAAGCTAGCAGTATCTGTATGCTTTCTCATTAAGCTAGCAGTATCTGTATGCTTTCTCATTAAGCTAGCAGTATCTGTATGCTTTCTCATTAAGCTAGCAGTATCTGTATGCTTTCTCATTAAGCTAGCAGTCTTCTTAAAATACAAGGTCTCTGCACCCAGAACAGCTGGTTTATTGCACAGATAGCCATTTATTCCAAACTACATACAGCTCTTTCAGGCTTTTTGACCATCAGCAGTGCAGTGTATGGAAACCATGACTTGGAGGATTTGAGGAGCAGTGGGAAGGTATAAATAGGTTATGATAATGAAGGAAGAAAGGAACAAAAAGTCTATCATAAGTCTATCATGCTATCGAGAAAAGGGTAATTTCTTCCTTTAAATGTTTTGATGCCCTACTGATTCATATGGCACGAATTTTTATTTTAATGATTGGCCCACTTCACGAAAGGTCCTCTTGCCTACTAGTTTATATGTGATAACTCTGAAATAACATGGCTTGTTCATTGCTCCCCCTGTGGTAGGACATGCCTTGGAAGATGCGACGTTTAGCCAAGCTTGATATGTCAGCCAGGTTGGAGTTGCAGTCTGCTCTGGATGCCGAAATTCGGGCTAAGCAAACCATCCAGGAGGAGCTCAACAAGGCCAAGGCGGCCAGCATTGCTACAGAATGGTATGTGTGTCACCTGTCACAAGGTGTCGATCTTCACAAACTCTGCAAATGACCACAAGCCACTCCTTTCTATTATCAGATTGTGCATTTGTCCCTATCTGACATTCACTAATTTTGAAAGTAAATCTCCACCTGATATTCTAAACCTTAACAAGACTCTGGCCCTTCCCTTTCAATCATTAAATTTTAGTTATTTCAATTGTGGAGGCTCAGGATCATATGTGGGTGTTACATAGGGTGATCTGCATGCAAATACAGCCTGACTAGGAATGCCCACTCCTTCAGACTGACATCTACCCATCAAGACGTTATGCTGTAACTCCTTCCAGGAGCAAGCCCATTGCTCACATCAGTTGTGAAGGCTCTGAGGCAGTGTTGTGATGTTGTCAGGAAGCTATGTATAGCACCCTGCCAGCCCTCCCGCAAGCTATGATCTGCCTACATTGCTTGGAGAAACCCAATCATGACATCACTGGCTCTAAAATTAGGTATGCAAATTTAATTAGCATGTTAATGAAGGGGGGAGAGATGAATCAGTGAAGGTAAAATAAGTAGAATAAACTTTAGCTTCACAGTATAAACTCAGGACCCGGCATTCACTATATCTGATCTCCCACAGTACACAAAACATGGAAATTCAATTAGTTTAGTAAGTATAAACTGCTAAATACCTTTTCTCATTAGCAGTATATAGCAGTCTTGTAACTTCTAGCTGAGCACTGTTAAAGCTTTTAGGAGTTTTCATTCTGCTCTGACTGTCCTATGAGGCTGCACCACCCCTGACCCTCTGTTTGGACAGTGCTGATTTGCCCTGTGCTGATCACATGTACCCTCACAAAAAAAAAAAAAAACCTCTCTAGCAATACACACTAAACTGAGCATGTGCAGAGTGTCTCCTAGAGCTCTGTACTATCAGCAATGGATTGGGGACCGTAGAAGAAGAGGAAGATCAGAGAAGACAGGATCAAACAGCCTTTTTAATCTATGTGGAGTATTAGCAGTGTGCAAAAAAGGCTGTTTAATCCTATAACACTTTAAACACAGAAAGGTTTTTTGAAAAATTGAATTATCATGTTAATAGGGGGCAGGGGGTGTTAATGTGGAACCAGAGCAGGCAAAATATAAGCATAAAACTACAGCTTTAATTCTGCAGCTTTCTTAAAAAAAAAATCAGGTGGTCCTGCTAAGAAGGTCTTTGTTCATGCACTTCCTGATATAGAGTGACAACACACTCTCACTGTGTCCCAGTTGCTCTGTGTTGTTGCCATGTTACACGGTTTTATAATGGACACATCAATGGGAAATGCCTTAAAAAATGAGAGTTTACAGGAGATCAGCAATGCTGAGATGCAGCAAAAGCTGATGCAGAAATGAATCCAGACTATTGTTTGACGCACTGTGTCAGCTTTTTAGCGCCATCATCCAATTAGGGTTTACAGCTACTTCAAGATGGTATTTTAACACCATCTAGTGGTCAGTTTATAAACTTAACTTTCAGTGCGTCACTTGATGAATATGTTTCTGACAAGTGAAATGAGGTGGAATAATTGTAATTACAGTTGTTATATCCTGGAAAGGTTTGTAAACATGGCAGTGACAACAATGTGGCTGTTATTGCACCAATCAGTCTTTCATTGTAAAATCGCTGGTACCTGTAGTGATCAGCAGGGTGCAGCTATCTTGTTTACCTTGTTTAGAAAGTAGTTACAAATAAAATAACAATGTAACAAGTTACTTCCCTTTAGAAGTTGTTGAAGTAAATGGTGCAGGTCAATTTTTCATTCGATTTCTCGATTTTAACCACTTGCCCTCCTGAGGATTTACCCCCCTTCCAACGACCAGGCCATTTTTTGAGTTACGGCGCTGCGTTACTTTGACAATTGCGCAGTCATGCAACGCTGCACCCAAATTAAATTTACGTCCTTTTTTTCCCACAAATTGAGCTTTCTTTCGGTGGTATTTGCATTTTTTATTTTTTTTTGCGCTAGAACAAAAAAAGGATCTACAATTTTGAGAAAAAAAGAAATATTTTGGACTTTTTGCTATTAAACATGTCCAGGGAAAATTTTTTTAAAAATCTAATTTCGTCATAAATCTACACCAAAATGAGTTCTGCTCCATGTCTGCTAAAAAAAAATCCCAATACGTGTAAATTAATTGGTTTTTGTGAAAGTTATAGCATTTACAAATGGTATTTATACTGGGATTTTTAAAACATTTTATTAGTAAATAAATGGCACTGGGCAGGAAGGGGTTAACATGAGGGGAGGTCAAAGGGTTAACTGTGTGCAGGGAATGTTTTACTGGGGGCGGTGTCAGTGTGCTTCACTGTAATAACACTGCTTTGCATGGCTGTGCTGTGCACAGCCATGCAAAGCAGTGTGCATGAGCCGACAGGGAGAACTGTTTTGTTTCCAAACCGTTCTCCTCCCCATCAGAGATCTTCTGAGATCACCGGGCGCTGGCAAGTAATTACCGGCCAGGACCCGGTGATTGACAGCCGCGGCCGTGAATGACTGCGTGGCTTGCGTGCGCCCCCCCCCCCCACCTGTAAATGCAAAATCAAGAATATATATGTGATTTTGCGCACCCGTGCCGCCCTGCAGCAGTATTTCTGCTAAAGGGGGAACGGGAAGTGGTTAAAGTGATAGCTGTTGGACTCTAGCTAAACCTTGTTCATTTTTATAATTGACCTGACAGTAAACTGCAGGAGTCAGAGAAGAAGAACCAGGAGTTGGTGGCAGAAATTGAGAAGCTGAAATGGGAGACTGAAGAGTTCCGATCGGAAAAAGGTAACAGACGCTAGAGGGCACACTGCTAGTCAGTGCTGTGTGGTATACCGACGACAGGTAACATATACAAGGACCAATCCTAGGCAGCTATTCTGGCAAGTATTTCAAAAATATCGTCCAGGATTTTTTAGTTTGTGTTATCATCCTTTTGGGGAGATTTTCCTTCACTTCTCTCCCAGAGACACAACCTGAACTGAGAGGAAATCACCTGTCACTGGGACAGGGGTACTCATTGAAAAATTTACCCTCTTTTTATTTTCTGGTAACAAATTAAAAATGGTGGATTTTTTGTCACTTTCACTAGGACAAATAGAGAGGGCGAATCTCCCCAGACAAAGGGTCCAACCCTTCCACATTCTCTTTGTAACTTAATGCTGAACTCTAGCCAGATATAAAAGACAGATATTAGGCATAAATTAATGCACACATTCATAAAACTGAATACAACATTAGATTTTAATACATCATTAAATGTATATTTTAAATGCAAGTGCAGCATAAGTATCTACAGTCAACATGGTATCAGCCTCTTACAGTCCTTGGACAGCAGAACTCAGACTGGAAGAAAAAGAGGCAACACAATAAGCAAATTGGCTACTGTGTTGTCAAGAAGCATGCTCATAGAAGAGAGCAGAGTGACAAAAAACATGAGCTCTTCCGTTTGCTGCTTCTCCTTCCACTGTTGAGTCACAGTCTGGGGCTGGTCTAGGATGACTTGGGCTCAGAGAAAATTAGTTGAATGATGCTGACCATCAGACTGAGGACATCTAGTGACCGAGAAAAAGAAAATCTCTAGATTGAAGGTGGATATTGCAGCAAAAGCTGGTTAATTGGCTATTCATTTCATATTTTGGGCTGGAGTACTGCTATAAAAATGTATTTGTATATACTATTACTTGATGCAAGGGTTTTTTTTTTTTTTTTTTTGTATATATATATATATGTTAGTGCTCCATTTCAACGTTATCTTTCATAAAAACTTCTCTGCTAAGATAAGCGAACACTCCCTGCTTGAGTTTCATTACATACAAAGCCAGGTCTTGGGAAGTGAGTTTAATAACTCTGCCGTTAATAATTATTCACTTGGTCGTGGGAGTTGGTCATGCCATGTTTTACTATTCTTAATATTGTCTTGCAGTATCCAGAAGCCTCTTCAGGATGGTTTTATTAATATTTAAAGGGGTATTGTGTGTGTTTTATTGTCTAGGTGTCAAACATCAGGAATCACAGAATTCATTCTTAGCGTTTCTGAATGCACCTACCTCTGTGCTGGATCACTTTGAGGTAAGTGTGCCCTATAACTGGAATATGTAGATATTTCTTGCAAAACATGGTTAAGTTCTCTCTTTGTTGGTAAAAATATGCGTATACTGATTTTTTCTGTACGTTGGGTAGAGAGTGGTGTATGGTTTGGTACCTGTAAAATATCAGGAGTCCAGGTATAGATCATGTTCCTTGTAGCTGCTTCTTGTACTGCAGGTACACTAGTAAGGCTGACAGGTGGGATGGTTTTAGCAGGCTTGGAGATATAGCAGCACATAAAGTAAGTTTGTACCAAAAGTATTTTGTTATAAATGGGGGGAAAGACAACTTGGCCTGAATACTAAACACAGCCATATACTGATAGGTCATCAACCCAAAAATAAACAGTGTACAAAAAAGCCTGACCAACCAATATTTTAACCATACATCACAGCCAAGTTAAAAGTTACTGTAGTTTAATACAATATATTGTAAAACTATCAGGATAAACATTACACCAGATAATGCTTCATTACAAAATTGTCCATGAAAGTTGATGGCTATTGTCATAAGTCAAACTATCAATGCTTTTCATGGTCAGCGCAGATTCTTCGAGACTTCATATTCACATATGACAGATGCCTTGTACATACATATTTTCATCTTTAAGTAAAAAAAAATAAACATACGTGCATGTAGGTCCTTGGGTTCAACTTCTGATTGTCTTTGTAGAACCTGGCCATATGGCTTTGGATATCATCACCAAACAAAGGTTAGACATTGTTCCATTGTGGTGCACATACACTGTGCAGGTAATGGGGATTATGTTTTAATTAAAACAAAGTAAATAAACCACAACTGATATGTACATTAAAGTAGTAAACTGCTACAAGAAAAACAAATGTGGGCCACTGCAGGTTTAAGTTATAATGTACTAGCAAGAACCACACACTAGCACATTATGACAGACTTGCCTGTACAAGGAGCCCTCCAGCACAGGGTTGTCACAGCTCCCGGGTCCTGCCATCTTCACCCAGTCTTCATTCCGAGTTAGCGGACTCTATGAATGGCTGGAGTTGCAATGATGTCACTCCCTGCGCATGTGCTTGGGAGACCCGGCTCTGGCACAGAGCTCTGAAGGTCCAGCACGGCCATGCTGTCCCTTCAGAGTGCATGCACTGGTGATGTCACTGACTGCATGCTGTGTGAATATCTCCTAAACAATGCAAGTTTAGGAGATATTCACCGTACATACAGGTAAACCTAATTATGGGCTTGCCTGTAGGTAAAACTTAAAAAGTGAACTATACTTCCATTTAAGCTGGAGATAATCGCAGAAGAAATAAAGAATCTCTTTAAAGAGCAGGTGGCTCTTGCTTTGCTCAAAGATACAGTAAAGAAGAACAAGAAGTAGCATGGGAAACATAAAACATAACTAGCAAATCAAACAGCAAGTTCAGCCTCTCTCCTCATATTAAGTTGTTCCTTCCCATCATGGACAAGACATGGGAACTGGATGTCAGTAAGCCCAAAGACTACATGCTACAGTGCGATGTCCCCAAGGTCTTTTTATACTCGAGCCTCTAAAATTAAAGCTTATTATGCATTCACTTGATCTTGTTGGTTGGAATAGCAGAAGGGTGACAGCATAGTAGCTCTTTCCTGGGGGTGTTAAATTTTTTTCTATGAATAATGCCAATCGTTGATTTTAATCCAGAGTCCCCTATTTCTTAAAAATGCATAATCATTTTTCTAAATAAAACATCCTTTGTAGCAGCTTTTACTGTTCCAGTGGTTGGGGGTTTCTCGAAGAAAGGTGCTTCTGACAGCAGACATATGTGTGCCCATTCTTTATTGGCCATAGTAATGTTTGAGTGGGCTCCCAATAACTACAAAGAACCAGCCTAGGATCCCTTTGTACGTCACGCTGTGGGTTTTTACTGTCTTCGCACCATAAAAAACTCCTCTGAATCATGGTGATGGTTAAGAAATGTTTTATGTAAATGACAGAATATAATGGATACATTAAAACAGAAAAAAATACCGCATAAGCTATTTGACTGCTGCTGATGTCAGGATGTGACTCTGTCCTGTTATACCAGATGGCACAATGGAGAGATCAGAGAGGGATGACTGTTACATAACTGATCGTCTCATTGTTATTTGCTATTTAATCATAAAGCAAAGGACAGGAAGTCTTTGGTGATCGCATAATAGGCCAAGAACCCACAGAGAATTTGGAAGAGTTGAGATTAATTATTTCATATCAAGGCAAGACTCTTTCATCATCTTGCAGAGGGGGCGGTACATTTCCTCTACTTACCTGGTCTCCTTTGGGTAAAACGTATCTGCCTCCAGCCAGGTATAGGGCCCTCTGATGGTTTTGTATAAAAAAAATTAAGCCATCTGGTTGGTGTCATTTGCCCTTCTAAATATTTGTTATTTGTGCTTATGTACTGTAAATCACATTCCTTTACTTGTGCTTTTGTTACTTGTATTGGGCCAGCTGCTGCATCATGACAGTGTAAAGCCATGTTATTTGTTGTATCCAGCACTCTACTCTCTAAGCTGCATTGAATTGTAATATATATTTGGAATCTTGGCCCGAGCCACAGCAAAGGCTCAGCTGACATGAAGATTTCCACTTGTGGCAGTACGACAGTTCACTAAAAGACCTTACTGAACTCCGAGTTCTTATTCTGATGTTCCCATTTCTAAACAGCATGTTTGGGATTCTTTTGTTTGTTTTTTTTTAGTTTAGATAGAGATCAGCTTGATGCGTTAGTGTGTATCTAAAGCCCAAACTATTTTTTTGTTTAAATTTGGATAACGTGGTGGTATAGGGATTAGAACCCCTGTGAGATTTTTTGCATTTTTAAAGTGGTGAGGAAAGCTAGATAGTTTATAATAAAGCCGTGGGTTTTTTAAATTAAATTAGACAGGCAGCTCTGTTTTTCCCAATGTGGAAGATTATTATGGAGACAGGAATACAGGATAAAGCATAGAAACGCCACTCTGCTAGTAAAAGCTTCAGTATAAGATTTTACTTGCAATATTCAGGTGAACTCCAGTGCATTTTAAGGGCTGCAAATGTCCCTGTTTGGGTGACATATGTCTAGGAGAAGATTTCGCTAAATTTGGGGACATTGTTGTACCTATGAGACAGGAAGTGTATGGAAATCTCCCCAAATGGGATACAGACAAGACAAAAACAAAGGATTTCTGGCATTTTTTGTACTTTTTGAACTTTTAGAAAATCTCAGAGGTCTCGTCATTGTTATCTGACCTGTATAGAGCACATGTTCCCTTGCTGTATATTCTCTGTGTAGTGGCAGCGTGATGCGGCTGCAGTGTTAGTATGTATGTCAGCACTGCGTGTGAGCGGTGAGTGTGTGTAACCTGTCTCCTCTTTCTTGAAGCGATCTCCGTCCTGCAATCCGGCCAGTAGAGGCAGACGTGTAAGAGGCTGTCTTGCTTTGTGTGCTCCCCCTTTTCTGCCTGTGGTATAAATGTCTTTGTTTTACATGGGTCATGTCAGGCTTTTTCTGCCTGCTGCATGCTGGCTGGCTGCATTCCTGCTCCGCTTTCTGTTTTGCATAACCCAATCCAAGGGGACAGCTACCAGTACACAGTGACTGCAGGCTTCATTTCTGAGCCAGGGATCACCCTCATTCTCTGGATGCATTCATGCTAAGCTACTTGTTTATCACACAGAACAGCCTTTTTCTGTTTGGTTGGGAAGAAATGCACAACACAGACCATGCTTTGGAAAACCACTGATGTTGGCGCCATAATCAGAATACAGTGAGGTGTCATGTTTAAAGGGACCCTGTCAGGGGCAATACTGTCACAGTTAAGGCTTCAATCCAGTTTCTGGGCGTGGGGGGGTTTGATGTTTCCTGACTACCATAGGTGCGGCTAGTTCCAGAGTAGATCACATCTCTGCAGTATCATGCAAATGGTTAAAGCACATATGTCAAACACAAGGCCTGCATGCCCAATCCGTCAGGCCTTCTCATGTGGCCTTTGCACCCAGTTTTGCAGCTGGAACACGGCTGAACTCAATTCTGCTACCTACAGCACACGAAGGTACTAGAACTGGGCCAGGTAGGAGAGAGTAGAGATGCAAGGAAGCTTGGAGGGGGGTTAGAGTTGGGGTTGTGCACCCTAAACCCTGCACTCTGTACACAGCAACCCCTGAACTCTGCAGTCTGTACACAGCGCATCCTTGAATCTGCACTCTGTACATAGCACACCCCTAAATCCTGCACTCTGTATGAAGTACACCTCTGAACACTGCACTCCCATAGGGCACCCCTGGAACTGCGCTCTGTACATAGTGCACCCCTGGAACTACGTAACACACTCCTGAACCTTGCACTATGTAGGTAGCGCACTCCGGATACAACCGGTCCTTTGAGGGAACCATACTACTGAAGAAGCCCGCTATGAAATTGAGTTTGTCACCCCTGGGTTAAAGTATTTACATATATTCAATAAGCAATAAAAGATCTTAAAACAAGCAATCACTGACCTCTCTAGCTGCTGTACGCATTGCGTAGTGTGTGAAGTGATATATTCTCAAGATCATAGCAGACTGTAAGGGCCCTGTCACCCCGGCTGTGTCTGTTCCGTTCCATAAATAGATGCTCTGATAAATCAGAGCTGAATGGTACAGATTTCACTTTTCTGACATCTATGTCCATTCAGTATTTTCCTCCTAATCCCCATATTAGGTCTAGGGGGAGGCGGATATAAATGGACTTGTGTCTGTTAACATCCAACTACCTCCAATCAATTTATGTCAGAAAAAAACGGAAAAGGATGCAGACAGATTCAATTTTTTTTCAAACATGAACAAATGCGCATCCATTTACATCTGCCTGCCCATAGACTAACATCTGTTCAGATCTGCTTGACAAACTGACAGGCCTGTCTGGTCAGATCACTGTGAAAGGGGCCTAAAGTCAGTTTCTATGTGTTTAGAGGGCTGACAGGTTGCCAGGATTCTGTTGTAATAGGTAAGGTTTCAGGTCCTCTGTTTTGAAATTTGAAAATGATTTCTTGCACAATGCCTTTGGCTGCAGAGGTGAATGAAAGCTGGTTTTAAAGAGAATTTACTGTTAGAATATGTAAATACATTAGTGTGTATAGTCAGCACAGGTTGACTTAAATTTTTTGGAAAGAGCTTTGCTTTTGGAAGGCAAGCACTGTCAGCTGCTAGGCTTGGATGGGAGTCGTGGCTGTGACAGTCTTTTATACTTACTTTGGTCCTGGATGGCTTCATATTGCTTTTGTAACTATGGCAAAGACAGACAGTTAAAGAAGTCGTCTTAGGTGTGACTAGCTCAGCTGCCATTCTGCTTCCCAGAACATGATTGTTATCCTGGCCACACAAACACATGACAATTTTAGGGCAGTTTCTATCACTTTTTTTTTCTTTTAAAGATCTTTTTATTGAGTTTTACAACACATAAAACATACCCTAGAAGGGGAAAACGAAGAGGAAGAGAAAAAGCCCCCCTAGCATAACAAATGTACAGGCTTAAGTAGCCTTCATACAATAGTTTCTATTTCACTTTTAATCAGATTTCAACTGTGGAAACAATGACACAAATTCAAGGCCTGTGTACATGGGCATTTGCTCACTTACAGTGTATCTAAACCCCAAAATAAAAACGTAATATACTACAGGTTACCAAATCTTAAATGTGGTGGCTGCATTGTGGTTTTTTTTTTTTTTTTTTTTAATACTTTTTTCTGCCCCAAACATAATCTCTTTGAGGTGGCTCCACTGTATGGAGGAGCAGTGGTGACACCTTTGGACAGCAGCATTGTCAACCTCTGGAGTGGGTAGTGTTAGATGTACTAGCAATTTTAGATATACATTTTTTGTGTTTGGATTTAGATGTGCTTTAGGAACTTTTCTTCCAACACAAGCCAATAGGCATACAAGAGCATGATGGAGAGCAGGACTATTCTTCTCTCATAGAGCACAGAGGTCTGGGTCTCCGGTGGTCTAACATGCCACCTGCACAATGCTCCAGAAAACAATGCTGCTCAGGAAGCATGATTAATGGATTGGAGTACTGTGCTGCGACTACAGAACAGCTTTTACAGTTTTAATATTGAACACATTTTTTTTTTTTAGGAAGTTGTATCCGTTTTTCATTATGCAGCCTAAGATTGCATGGTGGTGAACACTCAGGGAGACCTTGTACAGATAAGGGTGGACTGACCCAAAAGACTCAGTTGCTCAGCAAAACTTTGCTGAAAATTGTTAATCAACAGCCATACGTGCCACAGATGTCCCTGGGAGACCCCTGTCTCTGTAGCTACTTAGCCCAAGTGGATGTCCAAAGTTTCTGGACACCTAACCATTACACCTATACGAGTTTGTTCCAAAATCATGGACATGGAGTTGACCCCTTGTGGCTGTAACAGCCTCCACTCTTCTGGGAGGACTTTACAGAAGATTTTGAAGTGCTTGGGTCAAACATTCTGTCCATAGAATCTTTTTGAGGTCAAGTACTGATGAAGAAGACAACCTGGCTTGCAATCAGCATTCCAATTCATCCCAAAGGTTTTCGGTAGGATCCATGCAGGCCATTTGATTTCCTTTACACCAAACTCCTCAAAGCATGTCTTTATGGAGTTGTCTTTAAGGAATAGAAAAGGGTTTTTCCCAAATTGTTACAACACAGGTGTAAATTCACAATAGTCTAAAATGTCTTTGTATGCTGAAAGCACCTGAACAAAGTCATTTGGAGGAGCGTCCACTACGCTTGGCCATGTGGTGTATATAGGTAGGGCATTTACAGAACACTTTTATAGTCCTTGCTATGTAGTCTAATAATTACAAGAAAATGGCTGCCTGCTTGCTATTAATCAGTATTTTCTGCTACCTTCACAGTAACTCACATCTTTGCTGGGGTCCTCCCCTCTTTCACCTATAGCATACTAGTCCAGATCCAGTGTGGGTTTGTGTACTAAGCTCAATTTTTGTCACAAAGCTTTGCTTAAACTGCTTTATTTTATGTTAGTTTGCTTTAAGGTTTGCTCTCTACATACACTCGGTGGTGCATAGGGATCCTCACCTTCATGACTCAGCCATCCTATAATTTGCAGGAGTTAGGATCCCCCTTTATACTTGTGTTGCGCTCATCCCTTTTAAATTACAGATGGAGAAAATGCATTCTCAGATTTTGAAGTCTACTTTCTGTTTTCAGATGGATTCAGTGGACAACTTTACTCTGTCCAATACGCCGTCACGTGACGAGGATGCAAAATCTCAGTCAGTCATATCACGCTCCAGATCGCCATCAACTATGAGCGACATTGAACCTGGTGAGGTAAGGCCCCTATCCAACCCATATTATTTTTTTTGCATGGAAGACTTTCAGAAACAATGACCAGGATTCTGTGCAGTAACACAGACCTACAGTTCCTGCTTTTTCTATAGACAGTAACTTGCAATTACAGGTTGACTTTAGCCATGCTTGCTGGTAAAATCTGGTAATGTACTACAAACTTAAAATCAATACAGTGATTCCTGTTTTTTGTGGTCAGATTTTCAGAGTGAACAAATATATAAAATACAGTAGAACACCTTCAAATTTTATTAAGGTGGAGCATGGGGGAGAAGACACTGTGAGGACAGGTCTAGCAGTGGGGAGGAGCAGAGAATCTGGTACATAAATCTGCTTTTCTGTACCTCCTAGACCTAAATCAGCAATTAATCCATTAATCCTTGCAGTTTGGGCACAGCCCCACTGCAAGGGATATTCTTAAAGTTTCTTGGAGTTTTGGCTTTAAGAAAAATACAGAGTCCTATTTCTGTGCAGCCTGTAGGATCAATGGCAACTAAGAAATCTGAACTGAGTGTGCCATTGTCCTTCAATGAGATGCAGCACATATCACAATACAATAAGGCTACGTTCACACTAGCGTTGTGTGCAGGCGGCAGAGAGGCGTTTGGGAAGTGTTTTTTTACCGCTTCCCAAATGCCTCTGCCAATTCTGCACATTACAGCACATGGTGCTGTTCTAACATGAGCGTTTGCCTCGCGTCGCGTTGCGTCGCGGCAAAACGGACGCCTCTGGTCGAGTCAGGAGGCGTCGAAGCCTCCTATTCTCATCTATGGTGCCACTCCGCAAACGCCCGGCTGGCGTTTGCGGTGTGCTGTTGCGACGCGGTTGCGGGGCGTTTGCGGAGCGGTAACACCACTCAAACTGCATTATAGGCATTTGTGGGGCGTTATTAATGCTCGGCAAACGCCTAGCAACCGCCGCTAAACCGCGCATGCGGCGTTTGCGGAGCGTTAAAAAACGCTCCGCAAGCGCCGGACCAACACTTGCCAAACGCTATAGGGGCGTTTGGCAAGCGTTGGTAAAACAGCCTAGTGTGAACAAGCCCTAAAGCAGTGTTTGCATTAACCATAGCAACCAATCAGAGTCTGATGATCTCCATGGCACCTTTGCTGTCAGACACTTTGGGGGGAATTTTTGAAAAGTGTCTGAGGCAAGTTCTGTCTCAACTGGTGCCATCGCCCAATGCAACTGTTCGGCTCTTACATTTCATTGTTTCACCACAGCTTAGAAAATGAAAATTTAAAGCTGATTGGCTGCTTTAGGCAACCACTCCAGTCGAGACAAAGATCTTTCCCAGATGCCTTTTGTTAATTCCCCCCTTTGATTCATGGTGTGCTTTGACATTGTGCAGGTGCTTTATAATGTAGATTGCTACAGGGTCTGTCTAATTTATTGTATTTCTATTCTATCATAATTCTCTCTTTATCTACCCCACAGACTACAGATCACCCTCCTCGCTCAGTACAGACACCAACATTTAGGTCTTCTTACCTGAGCTCGGGCTCCTCCACACCTAAGGTAAAAGGACATTGTAAAACCCCAGAAGAAACCTATGCATAGTAACGTCCGTCTTCTAGCATAACGCCTTCTGAAAGAGAAACTCTCTATATTGTATGTAGCAACCAAGTAGTTTATTGCTCTCCTTTTCTATCCCGTTCTGATGTTAGCATTAAAGCTGTTTCTCTGAGTAACACAGGCAGATTCAGGTACAAGACCTAAAGGACCTGATGCATCAAATGCTAGCGTGTGTTCAGCATCACATAGCAGTATTTAGCAGTTCATTGTTTAGAATTTCTTAAAGCCAAGCACCAGGCAGTTTTAGGATAAAATTAATGCAGTTCTTTATTCATTAATACTTAAGAACATTTTTTTTTTAATGTAAACTGTGTAAGTACCCGAATTTAATCTGGTATCAGCCTCTTGCAGTCCTCGTACACAGCAGTGCTCAAGACTTGAGCTGATAGGAGAAGAAAGTGAAGTGACAGATTATTGGTGTGCTACTTCTCTTTTCACCATCAATTCACAGGCTGGGGGAGGGACAAGACCAGGTGTTGCTTAACCGCTGCAGAGAAAAATAGGATCTCCTCTGCTAGACGGAGAGTGCTGTGTGGCAGAGCTGTTTATATCTCAGAATTGTATATATGTTTATCCCCTTTGCACCGGTGCCTCCCAGCCCTTTAAGGGTTTCAGCAGCCGAGAAATGGGTGGGATTTTAGGGTCATGTGACCACCACTGTGATTCGCTGGCATGGTGGTCACATGATCGGGAAAGGTCCCGATCACAAGAGGAGATCGGGACCTTTCCGTGAATACCGGACATGTGTGCTGGGAGCACGCAGGGCGCGTGCTCTCAGCATATATGTTTTTTTAATTGCACGCAAATGTGCGGCCGCTTGGCGTCATGGCGCAGACGCTGAGGGGCTACACATTTGCGTGCGCTCAGCGTGAAGAGGTTAATTAATAACTTTAATATTATCAGAAATGAGAATAGGAAGGTTAATGGCACTGTCACCTTTTAGATGTTGCATTAAAAAAATGGGGATTCCTGGGTAGATTTACTAAAACTGGGGCACTCAGAATCTATCTTGTGCAGTTGTGCATGGTAGCCAATCATCTTCTAACCTCAAGTCATATTAAAGCAATTTTTAAAAAAATAACAAACATGTTATACTTACCTGCTCCTTGCACTGGTTTTGCACAGAACAGCCCCGATCCTCATCTTCTAAACTCCCCTACTGGTGCTCCTGGCTCTCCCCTCTCCTACCAAGTGCCCGCAAAGCAAGCAGATTGTTCTGAGGGCACCCAAACAAGCTCGATCCCGAGCTGCTGCTCTGTGTGCCCATTTACACACACAGCCATCAGCATCACCTCCTCTCTCTCCTCATTGCCTCACTGGCTGTGATTGACAGCAGTGAGAGCCAATGGCTCAGGCTGCTGTCTCAACCAATGAGGAGGGAGAGACCCTGGAGAGCCAAGGCTCTTGTGCACATCGCTGGATCGCAATGGGGCTCAGGTAAGTATTAGGAGGGCTGGGGGGGTAGAATGCATGAAGGTAAAAAACCTTGAGCCTTTACAAATACTTTCAGCTTGTTCAAATAAGCTTTGACAATAAAACCTGGAAGCTGATTGGTTTCTATGCAGAGTTGCACCAGATTTTGCACTCTCCAGTTTTTGGTAAATAACCCCCATTGTTGTAAATTAACAGAGTAAAAAATGTACAGGTTTACAGTCTGTGTGTGTATTTTTGTGATCTCTTTTCCATTCCAGAAACCAGCATTGACGAGGTTACTTGTATGTTTCTATTAAAAAGTTTGAGCATAAAAAAAATCACATATAAATGTGCCAACCAAAGAATAAAATGTTTAATTTCTTTGTTTTGTAGCCCAAAGCTCACCAATTTGTTGTGAAGACCTTCAGCACGCCAACAAAATGCAACCAATGTACATCACTGATGGTGGGTCTGATCCGACAGGGCTGCACCTGTGAAGGTAAATGCACAGCACAAGCAACCTTTCCCCTGTCTGTTCATCTAATGGTGTAACATTAAAGGGGAATTCTGAGAAAAAAACAAAAATGTTTCCTAAAACTTTGCCCCTGTATACCTGCAATGAGTTTGTTGTCTCCCCCCTGAAGATTTTTTCCCTTCATGTTATCATGTTTTCTGCCCATGTTTTAGTGCCAGTGACACCTCTAACCAGTGACTGCCTAAGGACAGATGTTGGTGTCACCCTACCTTTAATTGTTAAGGCCGATGACCTTTGGGCCAGTCATGTAATATGTTGTGACCAGTGGTGTAATTATAGCCATTGCAGCCTATGTGGCTTCCACGGGCCCCTGGAGTTAGGGAGGCAAATTCAACTTGAAGTTCAGTGTAGAGTCATCAGGATCATCATGCTTCTTTGCTTTATATGTTTTGATTAGGAGGCTTAGCAGTGTAGATTTATTACCCCCAGAACTTCTGCTACAGCTAATCTGTGCCAAATTAACCCTGTTGGCCTGATGCATTGTTCCTAAGGCTATTAAAAATAAACTCTCTGAGTGTCTTCTCATCTAAAACCTGCTAAGACAACTGAGGTTTATAGTTCTGCAAAAAGCCAGTGTTTATTTAACCCCCCCTTCCTGACCAGGCCATTTTTTGCGTTATGGCGCTGCGTTACTTTAACTGACAATTGCACGGTCATGCAACGCTGCAACCAAATGAAATTTACGACCTTTGTTTCCACTAACAGAGATTTCTTTTGGTGGTATTTGATCACGTGTGCGTTTTTAATTTTTTGTGCTATTAAAAAAAAAAATTGATCGACAATTTTCACAAATTTCGTCATAAATTTAGACCAAAATGTATTCTGCGACATGTCTTTGCTTAAAAAAAAAAAAACCCAATACGTGTAAATTAATTGTTTTACGTGAAAGTTATATCATTTAGAAATGGCGGTATATATTACTGGGCTTTTTAAATTTTTTTTTTTTTTTTTTAATTTTTACTAGTAATGGCAGTGATCAGCGACTTATAGCAGCACTGGGGGGGAACTCACTTGGTGTCACTGACATCCCCAGTGACACCAATACAGTGATCAGTGCTGAAAAAAAAAAAAAGCACTGACACTGTACTAATGGCACTGGGCAGGAAGGGGTTAACATAAGGAGAGATAAAAGGGTTAACTGTGTGCTGAATGTGTTTTTACTAGGGGGCTGTGTCCGTGTGCTTCACTGTAATCACACTGCTTTGGATGGCTGTACTGTGCACAGCCATCCAAAGCAGTGTGCTTGAGCCGACAGGGAGGAGAACTGTTTTGTTTACAAACAGTTCTCCTTCCCGTCAGAGATCCTCGGCAATCACCGGCCAGGACCTAGTGATTGACAGCCGCGAATGACAGCGCAGGTAGGGCACATGCGCGCACCCCTACCCGGAAATGCAAAATCACGTATATATATATGTGATTTTGCACACCCATGCCGCCCTGTAGCAGTATTTCTGCTATAGGGCAGTCGAGAAGCAGTTAAAGAAGGGTGATTCTACCATAAGGAGTAAACTGTTCTGTCCCAGGAATATAAGAAGACACGGGCCACTCAGTGAAACTGGAGAAGAAGCAGTTTAGCCTCAAACTGCATAGGGATAAGGTAAGGATGAGGAACTCACTTCCACAATTGGTGGTGTCATCGGGAAGTATTGATAGTTTAAAAAAACTCTTAGATGGGCATCTTAGTAAACACAATATACAGGGATATGGGTTTTGACATGCACACACACACTCCTGCACAGGTTGAACTGGATGTACTATAGTCTTTATTCAACCTTACCTACTATGTACATTTGTATTAGTATTTTAGAGTAATTTTATGTTGTAGCTGTAATAAATTTGTAAGATACATAAGCATGTAACTTACACTGCAAGCCAGGGCTTAAAAGTTTGAGTCTAGACCTACTAGCCAGGCACACAAACCTTACTCTCCACCAGTTGCCCCCCACCCAACCTTGCCCAGGTCCGCCTCCAACCCCACCCTTGGCCTGCCCCAACCCCACCCCCAGCCCTGCCCCCAACCACGCCCCCATAAAGTTTATGAAATTACATTTTTCTTTAGAATAAAGAGTCCAAAATATAAAACTGTATACAGTAATGTATATCCCAGCCCCCCTGTACTCCATTATAGTGATATGACATGTATACAGTACTTACTCCTTAAGTACCCCGCGGCGGTGGAGAGGGTGTCTCCTCTCAGTGGAGGAGAGCGGACCTCTCCTGCACCTGTCCCCTCAGCGGTGGTGCCGAAGAAGCTGGAAACCGGAACTCGGCTTCACAATGAGGCTTGGAGTGCAGCCGCTCCATCATCTGTGCTCGCCGCTAGAGAATATCTGGTGAGCGGGCGGCGAGCGGCTTTTTCAAGCCCTGCTGTAAGCTACTACAACTCTTGTTTGTTTATTTTTTTACTCACCATTAGACTACCTCTTTCAGTAATTGCTGGCTGTGGTGGAAGGATGGTTTGGAATCTGGCTAAGGCTTTTAGATCTAACATGCTAAAAAGGACTGGTGAGCTACTAAGGACAGAGTAGTTAGCTGAAAAATGAAGGGTAAAAATGAATTGCTGATCCTCCCCGACAACTTATATGCAGTGCACTGACCTATATTACTGTAATAACTATGCTGGCAGATCTCTTTCTGCCCATCCTTGAATTAGGCATACATAACATGTTAAGATCAGCGATGGTAGTGCCTCATTGAAATCTTGCTATGGGATCCTGTGATATGTTGTGACACCCCTGGGTGTGACCTAGGGATTTTTAGTTCTATCCCTCCAGAAAACTACCCATCCTGTGTATCCACACATCATAAGCCTCCCTCTCTTTTCGGCACTTAAACTTGCCCTATCCATTCAATTTCTGAAAATAATGCTGGGACATGAAGGGCACAAATTAATATATAATAATCTCACATTTTTATGTTATATTATTATTCTTTTCATTGTTGTTGGTAAATGGTTAGAACTTCTCTTAGGGTTAAAGGCTATCTAAAACCCAAAACAAAAAATGTAATCTATTGCAGCTTACTAGTCCTTAGATGTGGTGGCTCCATTACGTTTCCTTTGTAGGATATTTTTTCCCTTTACATTCACCTAGTTGATCTAGCTAGTAACACTCTTCCTGTCCTAGGGTGGCAATGCTTACTTATTGTGCATTAGCTATGGAGAAGTATCATTGTCATCCTAGGACAGGTATAAAGAATACCTCCTTCTCTCCTCATCTCCATTACATAGAGCGGCATTGTTTTAGTTCACAGAAGATAGCTGAGAAAGCTAATGATTGCTTGAGATTTTTGCTCAGTCCTAGGGAAGTTATAGTGGTGCTAAATTTTTAGTAAGATCGACAGGAATTTAAAAGAAATGTATGTAGCCTTTAAAGGGAATGAATACGGCTGCCACATCTAAGGATTGTAAACTGCAATATAGTACATTTTTGGCTTAGATATACTTTATAGCTGAATTCTGGCATTTAGAAAATATGGTGTATATAACCGAGGCATGTATATTCTTTCTTGAATCTTGGTGTGGTTTATGTGTTTCTTCCAAATCAGTGAAATAATCCAGTTTGTTTATTAAATAAATTCCCTGTAATAAAGACTGGTCACTGCTGCACTCTCTCCTTGTGCAGGGTGACTGGTCTTGTCTCTACCCCCTCCTATAGTTTTCTGCAGACAGCCTGTAGTGGATGCAGCTGCTGTGGCTATTGAGAAATATATATAAATGTAACACCCTCCTAGTTTAGCTAGGGGGAGCTAGACCCTGATGGCTAATGAGAAGCTGATTAGCAGCTCAGGTGAGATAGTCAGAGGGGTCAAATTCTAGTCAGAACTGAGAGACTCTGCAGTCCAGCCCCTCTGGAATTTCCCCCTGCTCTGAGGCTTTCAGAGGGGGGCCTTGGAGGCAGTGGATGGATCTGAAGAGTGGTTGGCTGTACTTTTGAGGGACCTCAGCCAATCCCAAACAGGAGGCTTGGCAAGGGGCTGGAATCCCTTTAAAAGTGTTGGAGCCTGCTCAGTAGCAGGAGAGTCAGGTGGAAGAAGGAGAGAGGAAGATGTGAGGTTGAGCTGAAAGGCTGCCAGGAGGCCTAGTGGGATGGGGCCTGCCTGTGAGCCTGGAGCTAGAAAGGAGGAAAAATCAGGACTCACTGGCCCCCGGAGAGGACCACCTGTATGGCAGGGAAGGAGCAGCTCAGTTGATAGGCCTGGAAGCAGCAGCCATTACACGAGCTGTACTGGAGAGGATCTGTGTGAGTACACTTGCACCCCCTGTGCAGATAGGGTAAGGAGCACTGTGATGGGAAGGGCCTGGCATGGATTGGGGGTGGAGGGGGAGACTCCATGCAGTTTTTTCCTGAATTATTATTTTTTTTAGTGCGGGCAATAGGTTTGTTTATATTCAGCTGTGAACAGGGAATCCTGCTGACAGCTGATGACTCACTGGTTGTTAAGGACGCGGCGTCCGATCATGTTTACTGCTTGTTAAGGACACTGGCGGCCGCTCACACTATCCTTGAGAACCAGCTAGAGTCAAACAAAGCACAAAATGTAAAATGCATACAAAATTAAAAAAAAGAAAAAAAAGACAAAAAACCGGTATGAAAAAAAAAATACATCAACTGCAAAAACTGTAAATTGTTCTTGTCTGTCCGGCATCCCTTTCCCCTCCTCCCAGATCCTGTCCTTGCCAATGTTACTCTTGTACTGGTGGAATCTCTGTATAAGTTCTATTCAATGAATGTTATTTTTGTTTTGTTGCCAGTGTGCGGTTTTTCTTGCCATGTAACTTGCGCAGATAAAGCACCCTCAGTGTGCCCCATTCCTCCTGAACAGACCAAGGGACCACTCGGCATCGACCCTCAGAAAGGCATCGGAACGGCGTATGAAGGACACGTTCGAGTAAGTAGGCCAAGAATTTTTGTTGCATGCTGGATCATATTTTCTAAAGCCAAAAGTTGTCTTAACTGCTTAGACAAGACTGACGCCTTCATCCGTATTTTTTTGTTAGTTTCATTGAGTCACCCGGTACTGATATAGTGCTGTGTTTGTTTCTCAGGTGCCCAAGCCAGCAGGAGTGAAGAAGGGATGGCAGCGAGCCCTGGCAGTTGTCTGTGACTTCAAACTCTTCTTATATGATATTCCAGAGGGGAAAACCTCTCAGCCTTCTTGTGTGGTGAGCCAGGTCATTGATATGAGGTGAGCTAGGCAGCCAGGTAATCATAGTGGCCATCTTTTCTCGTTTGTGTTTTTTTTTGTAATTTGTGTATTCTTTCTACAGAGATGAGGAGTTTGTTGTCAGCTCTGTCCTGGCCTCTGATGTCATCCACGCCAATCGCAAAGACATTCCTTGCATTTTCCGAGTGAGTGACATCAATTTTTCTGTTTTTGTGTCTGATCCCAAGCCCTACAATGTACATACATCACCAACATGTTGTCTACTTCTATTAAAGATCCGTTTATTCAGCACTGAATACAGCAATGACTTTTCGGTGCTCTGCATCAGCTCCTTCATCAAGCAGCATCACAATTGGCGCTGCAATTATTTTAATGAATAAATGGATTTTTAATAAAGGTGGACAATGTGCTGGTGATGCATGTTCATGGCGCCATTCTTGATATATCACTAGAGAAATCAGGCATGAGGTCTAATATCGTTTGGAGTGCACCCTACTTCTTCATATTGATCCCAAGAACTGTGTTGTTTGTACTTCGAGTAAAAGGCATGCAAAACAACACCACGTTTGTCAGAAAACATTTTGTCAGATATTCTACATCTTCTCAAATATGGCAACAGTCTTCAGAGAGGACTTCCATTATAACAGGAAGTAGAATAAAAGATTTGTAGCTCTGATTTCCTAAAGCATTGGGTGTTTTCATTCAGCTCTTAAGCAGTGTAGATGGATTGAGTCTCCTTAAGCAGCTCTCCATGTAGTGATGTCTGTAGGTCGATTCTTTATTTGAGCCGGTACTGGGTGCACAAGGAGGAAAGCTCCAACAGCAGAACATATGAAGTCCAGATTTAGATTTATTAAGAAATTGGTATTGTAAAAATGTCAATGCATTTCAGAGTTGTAGAGGGTCTCCCTTCATCAGGCTTTGTACTGTTGAACAAAGCATATACTGGACTGAAAAAAATTGGAGAGATCCTGAAAGCTAATTAGCATGATTGCTTCTGAGGTCTCATCAGCCACTCTTTGACCCATACTGTGGCCACTCCCCCACCTCTATTCAAGTTTGTATTGCTTCAGTGTTACTCAAAATATCTAATGACACTTTGGAAGTTCTCTGTGGACCATGGCTTTTGCTGTAGGATGCGACTAAGAAAATGTCAGGAAAGACCTACTAAAACAGCTGAACTTTATTTGCGGTTAATCAGAGGAACTTTCAATGATTACATGCTTTTGAATGTGATTGCTTAATTCTGAACACAGCTACATCCCCAGTTATAAGAGGGTGTGCACACTTATGCAACCGCATTATTTTAGTTTTTTATGTTTTCTCCCCCCCCCCCCCCCAAAAAAAAAAAAAAGATTTCAGTTTGTTTTTCAATTGACTTGTACAGTTTATAGGTCCCATTAAAGGTGGAAAAAGTTCTAACATGATTTATCTTTGTCTCATTTTTTTACATCACAGACACCTGACATTTAAAAAGGGGTGTGTAGACTTTTTATATCCACTGTAGGACATGGTGGAAGAGATTTACTAAATTGGTGCACTCAGAATCTGTGCATAGTAACCAATCCGCTACTAACTTCAGGTTGTAATAAAACTTGGAAGCTGACTGGTTTCTTTGCAGAGCTGCACCAGATTGTGCACTCTCAATTTTTAGTAAATAGCCCCCATTTTTTCCTTCTAACTTGCCATGCACATGCTCCCATTGTTGAAGCATTTCTTGAAATATGCCTAGATCTAATTTATTGCCTTTTAAACTTTAGTATATATTTTGTGGGTGTGCTCACTCATTATTTGCTTCCATTTGGTCATCAATAGTCACTTGCCACATGCAGCCCCATCAAACTGTTTACAAGATTTTACGTTTACACAAAGCACCCTTGTTTTTTGTTATTTTTTGTTTACTGAATGGTCAGGACAGATTCACTTTAAAGTGACCCTGATGAGCAGTGATATTTGAGGTGCCAGAACAATGACATTTGGTGTCCTTAAGATGTGGTATAAAAATACTTTTTTTTCTTGTAGATAAATCCTATTACTCCTTCCTTTTTTTTTTTTTTAAAGGTAACAGCTTCTCAGCTCTCTACATCCAGTAACAAGTGCTCCATCTTACTCCTGGCGGATAGTGAAAGCGACAAGAGTAAGTGGGTGGGGGTACTGAACGAGCTGCACCGCATTCTGAGGAAGAACAAGTTAAAAGACCGATCGGTCTACATGCCTAAAGAAGCCTACGATAGCACACTGCCACTCATCAAGAACACCCAGTCTGCTGCCATCCTCGGTGAGCTGCTATGGAAAAATCATGTTTGCTTGTTTTTTAAGGCGGATATCATTATTGTAACAGGAGATCTTTTACTGTTTGCCTACAATAGGAACAGTAGCATTTAAATGCCTGCACCCCCCCCCCTAAAAAAAAAAAAAAAAAAACCTTCATCCAGTTACCTTTGGTGTGTCCCATATAAGCAGAGTTTCCTTTTCCTGTGCATGAGCTCTTCTGACGAAATTGCTGGCACCCCCAAGACCCCCCAAGTGATTTAGGAGCTCTGACCATCACTTTAGTGAATGAAGTCTGCAAACACTGTGTACACGCTTCATTCATAATATGAAGCAACTACTCAACTATCAATTTAAATCAGCATATGCAAGGTGCACTTGGGCAGGGCAGTTCACAGATCAGTACAGTGCAAAAGATTTCCAAGCAATCATACCAGCTAGTAAGGATTAAAACTCTTTTGACAATTAACATTTAGCCCTGGTTCACACTGATGCGGTGCGGAATTTGCAGCGTTTTTTGTGCGAATTCCTCACCGCATCAGAATTGCGCCCCATTTATGTGTAAACCAGTGTGTATGTTAAGTTAACAACCCCCCCGAAAGCGGTCTGCAAAATGTGGTATGATGTACAGAATCAGATCGCATAGATGTGAATACACATGCAATCCAATTCTAGTGCAGACCAAAAAAGGGTCCTGCACGTCTTTGGTGCGGGTGCGGTGCGATTAGAGTCATACAAAATGTATAGGTCCAATCGCACCGCACACAAATCGCATGTGATTTGCACAGAAATGTGGTGCGGTTCCTGTGTGAATCACATGCAATATACCGCACAGTATATATGTGAACCCGGGCTGAAAGGAATTTTTGTTGTATACTTTTGCAAAAAAATATAAAGCCACACTTCCACACCAAGGCGCCTCTGCAAAGTGCTTTCTCCAGACAAACAGTGCTCCCATCTTGTGACACATATAGTAAAGCAATGAGCAAATTGAGAGCAGGTATACCTTGGAAGTAGCCCAATCCTCCTTAACAGTTGTGGACACTGAACGTACTACAGACGTCCAAAAAACATAGTCGGAGTACATAGGGCGTGTGTGGTATGTACTGCCCTTCTGCTGTTACCCCCTTGCACTTGCCAGTAATTCCCAACTGTCAAAATGTCATCTGAAATTGCTGTGGAAGCGCCTGCTTTGAACAAAATAGTCCTTCTGGCGTTGTTTATAAGCACTATTCAGAGGCAAGACAGATACAAAGTAACCTTACTACTTTTTATCTATTTGGTTTCATTCATCTACAGATCAAAGTGATGAGCTTCAGTCTGCATATGATGTCAGTTAAAGTGTTACTAATCCCACAACAGTAAAATCAGTCTATATATGCAGTAAAGCATGCTTGTTATACTCACTGTGGAACCTTAGGGGTTAATCCTCTGCATTTTGTAAAAAGGATGTTTGATCCGGGCTTCTCTGATCGTCCCCTTCTTCTGCGGTCCCCAATATATCTCCAGATAAAACAGAGGCTTGGAGGCAAGCTGCACATGCTGAGTTTGGTGTATTGCTAGAGGTTTCTTTTTGGGAGAGTGGAAGTGATCATCACAGGGCCAATCAGCACTGTCCAGACAGAGGGTCAGGGGTCACACAGGTTCATACGGGAGAATGAAAACTCTTCCTACAAGCTTTAACCAGTGCTCTGCTGGACACTGATAGAAATCACAAGACTGCTCTAACTGCTGATGAGAAAAGGTATTTAGCAGTTTATATTTACTAAAATAATTGCATTTCCATGTTCTATGTACTGTGGGAGACAAGATATAGTGAATGCAGGGTCCTGGGTTTAGTAACACTTTAACGCATGCTGGAAAGTTAATAAAATGTGTCCTTAATAAATAACCCCTTTATTGGCCTTTACGTTACCCAATCAGCCATAATTAACTTCCTCCCCCTTCCCCCAACTGTTATTCTGCTACTGATTTTTTTATTTCTATTTTATATAATTTCCCATTACCATTTCCTGCACTGGATTGCATGGTACCCCCCGGTACTATACGATCTGGTTACAGTGCGCTTTAAAAAGTAGCACATGCACTACTTTTGGTGCGATCCACTGCGATTTCAACTCATTCAAATGAATGGGCTGAAATTGCATTGCATTGAATCACACAGGAATCCTACAGGAATGCGGAGTGCGTTCCTGTGCTATTCCGGTGTGAACTGACATTTACTGCAGCATAACTAAATATATATTTATATATCTTTATACTGTATCTATATCATTGGACTGTATTTCGTCTTCTACAGATCATGAAAGAATAGCACTTGGAAATGAAGAAGGGTTATTTGTTGTTCATGTCACCAAAGATGGTAAGAATATTATGTCTATATGTTCAGCTAAATACGTTTGCAGTATGGGGTAACATTTATAACACAGTGGTAACATTTATAACATGGTGTAAGATTTCAAGTATCTGCAGGCAAAACATTTTCTTTAGTTTTGGATAGAGTAAAGAGTGGTTTGAATCTGCATTTTTTTTTGCCTCTTTCCCGTTGGTTTGTTTACTCTTTACCTTCTGTTACCAGAACAAACAGAGGGGTGAATCTTCTCTACACAGCAGTAAAAACTATTATAACATTATTTTTTTATTCCCTTTACTAGCTTCTAATTATATATAACAGTATTATCATTACCGTTATTATTATTAGCGCTGTTATTAATATTATGTTCCTTTCTTCTTTTCATAAATTTGTTTCCATAGGCCTATGGGGGCTAAGAATATGCATGCATCATACAAACTAGGGGGGTTCAACTGGGGGTATCAATGGTGGAGAAGGATCTGGGAGTTCTGGTAGATCACAACCTTAATAATGGCATGCAATGCCAAGCTGTGGTTTCTAAAGCGAGCAAAATCCTCTCTTGTATTAAAAGAGGTATAGACTCCAGAGAGAGAGATATCATATTACCCTGTACAAATCATTAGTAAGACCTCATCTGGAATATGCAGTTCAGTTTTGGGCACCAATTCACAAAAAGAACATTGGGGAACTGGAGAAAGTACAGAGAAGGGCAACCAAACTGAGGCATGGAGGAGCTCAGCTATGAGGAAAGATTAGAGGAACTGAATTTATTCTCTCTTGAGAAGAGGAGATTAAGGAGGGATATGATCAACATGTATAAATACATCAGTGGTTCATATAGTGAACTCGGTGTAGAGTTATTCACCCTGAGGTCAAGGGAGCAAGGAGGAAAAGAAATGTAATCTCCAAACACAGAAAGGTTTCTTCACAGTGAGAGCTGTGAAAATGTGGAATAGTTTCCCTCATGAGCTGGTTCTGGCCAGCTCTGTGGATTGCTTTAAAAAAGTCCTGGATTCTTTCTTGGATACACGGAATATAACTGGATACTAACATTTATAGGTAAAGTTGATCCAGGGAATATCCGATTGCCTCTCGGGGGATCAGGAAGGATTTTTTTTCCCCTGCAGGATTAAATTGGATCATGCTTTGCTGGGGGGTTTTTTTTTTTTGCCTTCCTCTGGATCAACTGTGGGTATAGGATTATAGGATCATTTTGAATGTGCTGAAATTGCACCGTACCTCACAAAAAGTAGTGCAAGTACTACTTTTTGAAACGCACTGTGACTGGATCGCATGGTGCAGGCAAACTACTTTAGAGACTTCCTCCCACTTATTGTCATGTCTTTATGAAAGGAAGTTAAAGTGGAACTTTAGTCAGAAAATGAAGTCCTGGTAGATCACTTAGCACTGGACCCTTTAGTGGAGTATATAGTGGAGTAGAGTTGAAGTTTAATCTCTCATTTTGTCTTTCATGGCAGAGATTATCAGAGTCGGGGACAACAAGAAAGTTCATCAGGTGGAGCTGATTCCACAAGAGCAGCTCATTGCCGTAATTTCTGGAAGAAATCGTCATGTCCGCCTCTACCCCATGGCCTCCTTGGATGGCAGAGAGACTGAGTTCTTCAAGCTGGCTGAAACAAAGGGCTGCCAGGGCATTGCATCTGGTCAGGTGCGGCATGGCGCCCTCACCTGCCTGTGTGTGTCTATGAAGAGGCAGGTACTCTGCTATGAACTTAACCAAAGCAAGACCCGCCACAAAAAGATCAAGGAGATCCAGGTCCCGGGCAACGTCCAGTGGATGGCCATATTTAATGAGCGTCTGTGCGTGGGTTATCAGTCAGGCTTTATCAGGTACCCGCTGCATGCAGAGGGAAGTCCTTCCAGCCTCCTTCACAATGATGACCACACGTTGTCCTTCATTATGCAGCAACCCACGGATGCCATATGTGCGGTGGAGATCTCAAATAAAGAATACCTGCTGTGTTTTAGCAGCGTTGGGATTTATATTGATTGCCAGGGTCGGAGGTCACGGCAACAGGAGCTGATGTGGCCGGCGGTTCCTATATCTTGCTGTAAGTCAATTGACCAAAACGTGATATATTTCTGGAGTTCTGTTGTATTTGACCTCCTATGTTATAATTGGGAAAAACATCACTGGCTTTCACCAGAAGAGACGTGTGTATCAAACAAGGGGCTCATTCCTCATTTTAGGATGACATGGAGATTGTAAATCATTGCTTTCTCTGTAGCCAACTGTGAACATTTGATTTAAAGTACACTTATAGCCTACATATAGGTTGTGTACAGCTGTTTCCAAATTGTTATGTTCCACCAATGTAAGATGTGGATCCTTTGACTTCTAGGGAGTAGGTCTTGTTGTCACTAACTGGGAGGAAAACAAGTTAAATGATATCTAAACCGAAGGCCACATACACTATATGCTCAAAAGTTTGTGGACACCTGATAATCTCACATACTATATGGAAAAAATTACTGTATGTGACACCCCCTCCTAATTATTGAGTGCCGGTGTTTCCAATGAAGGTTCATTCACTGATTGTGCCCAAAACTCAGGTACAAAATGATATAGTTTGATGAGCTTGGTGTGGAGGAAACTGAGTTGCCTTCACAGAACCTTGACCCTCAACCCTATTGAAAATTGTTGGGATGTACTCAAATGCCTATTGCGTGCCGGACTTTCTTGTTCAATTTCAGTACTAGACCTCACAAATGCTCTTTTTACTAAATTGGCAAAATTCCCACAGACATGCTTTCCATTGGAACTTGTTATATCCCCAAAGTGTTGTTCAGTTGTGTATCAGTGCTCATGGTTTTGGATTGACATATTTAGCAAACTCGTATATTGTAGGTGTGATGGTCAGGTGTCCACAAACTTTTGATCATATAGTATATGTAATATATTACAGCTGATCAGTCCTTAGATGTGGTAGTTGCTATACTTTTCTTTTTTTACGCTAAGAACAAGTACAGAAAATACCTGTTTATCTTGCCAGAAATGCTGTAAAATTTCCTGTGAACTGATATGTAAAACCAAGTTCTGTTCCTTCCAAGATATCTTCTGTAAACTACTAATTTTCCCCACCCCGAGTAATGGAGATGAAATTAGGAATCCGTGCTTGTAGTTCTGTTCTGGAGTGAGAACGCTGCTCTTCCATAGATACAGTACGGTGAGTGACCATTGTCACCCTAGGACAGGAAATGATACTGGAAGAGTCTCCGGGTGAAAATTATAGAAAAGCACCCGAAGAAATATAATGTAGCCACCATATCTAAGGACTGGCAAGCTAAAATGTATTACATTTTTGTTTTTGGGTTCAGATACCCTTTAAACCTATGCATTATAATATCTGGAAGGGAGTGAATAAAGCCATTCATCCCAGAAGATGAGCAGCCTTGCATTGCAAAGCCCTCAGGGCACAGTGTGGAGTGTGAGCATTGCAGTGAGACTGAGTGGCCTAACAATCATCATAGACACAAACACAGCTGCTATGGGGCTTGGAGTAGGACCCCCTAAATGTCTTCCACTGCAGTGGGAGTTTACTATGGGCCAGCACCAGGGGTGGACTGACAACTCATGGGGCCCCCGGGCAATAGGGGATCATAAGGCCCCTGTGTCCTTGCCCAAACTCAAAAAAGCCTATGGAAAAGGTACCAGGGGCATCTCATGGGGCCCCCTACTGACCCAGGGCATTCGGGCAGTGCCAGCCCATCTACCACACAGCCCTGCAGTGCTGACTGATAATTTTCTGTTGTGATTGAGAAGTCAGCACTGCGGTTTGTGTGATCTGGCTGATAGTAAACTGACTGGTCATTTACTGTTGTGAATGAGAAGTCAGTGTTGTGGAGTTGAGTGATCTATCTGCTGGTGCAGTGAATGTCCTTGTTTTTCTTAGCCTATTGTATACAGTTGGTATCACAATAGTAAAGCCATGCTTGGTAGGCTGTAATGATACATTGTTGACATTATGAGATTCTTCCTGCACTAGCAGAAGAATGACAGGACTACTGGTAGAGAAGAACCCTCAGACACACAGATATCACACCGTGCCGGAGTAGTTTGGCCAGGCAGAAGCAATGCTTTGCCTCTGACACTGGCAGAAACCTGCCACTAATACTCAGCTATCAGCCAGGCTTAGCGTGGTTCCCACCTTGATATCTACTCTTGTGTATATAGTGGCCAGACCAGCTGCCATTCCAGTGGAATTGGAAATTAAATGTAACCCCCTGTACAAGATAACTCCCATCAGTACTGCGGGCCTGTCTGAACTATCTGCTGCTGCAGTGGATATTTATGATGGTATTAATACATAAGTGGTCAATATAGTGAGATTGGTGTAGAATTATTAACTTTAAAGGTAATTACAGGACAAGGGGGCACTCTTTATGTCTGGTGGAAAAGAGATTTGACCTCCACATATGGAAGAGCTTCTTCACAGTAAGAGCTGTAAAAATAAGAAATAGACTCCCTCAAAAACTAGTTCTAGCCAGCTCAGTAGATTGTTTTAAAGAAGAATTGGATGCACTCCTAAGTACGCAAAACATAACCGGGTGTTAGCATTTAATAGTATTGTTGATTGTTGATCCTGGGAATATCCAATTGCATTCTGGGGGTTCAGGAAGGATTTTTATTTTTTCGCTGCTGGAGCAATTTGGACTATACTTCATAGAGTTTTTTTTTTTTTTTCCTTCCTCTGGATTAATTGTTGATATAGGATTCTGTCTCTGGAGGTTTTCTGTTTACTTATTCTATTTATTATTTTTTATTGGTTGAACTAGATGGACTTATGTCTTTTTTTTTTTTAAGCCTAACTATGCAACTATGTAGCCAGCAGCAGGGTCACATGGCCCCTCAGTGTTGACCTTATTTACAGTAGTAAACAATTAGTCGGTGGTGCAGGGCTGTATAATCTGCCAGCTGTAAATGAACATTCACTGCACTGATTTTCTATTTTTGGATAGAATCAGAGGATTTTCCACCACCTACTGAACCTGGGCCATAACAGGCAGTGGGTTGAAATTCAACAGTGGTCACCAGGTCATATAGAGGGGTTGTTCTTCCCAGCAGGGATGCAGACTGCAATAAAAACCTTTACAAAGGTCTAGCCCTTCCCCACATCATACAAAACAATTGGAGTTCCACTTTTAGGCAACCATGCCATTGCCACCCACTCCAGTTTCAGCTTGATTGGGTGGTAATTGTGATGTCTATGGGCTCCATCAGCCCACCCCTTGCAGACTCTTATGGGGACATTTTTGAAAGTCTGGGTTGGATTATTTGTAGCCAGTGGCTTCCATGATATAAGGGTAAGTGCCCACTCTCTACCCAATCTATAAGCAGTGATGAGCTGGCATACCGTCATGGAAAAGCAAGGCTATCGTGTGTATTTTGGTACTAATTTTGGTATTACAGTATTTCTCAGCTTTTTCCTTGTGTGCTTCCATCTTTATCTCAGCATCTTTTCACTTTCAGGCTACAATGCCCCGTACCTCTCTGTTTACAGTGAAAACGCAGTTGACATTTATGACATCAATTCCATGGAGTGGATTCAGACCGTTCCATTGAAAAAGGTAAACAGATTTGCATGCTTGCCCTGGCTGCAGATACAACTTTTTACATCACTAAAGCTGAACTCCAGACAAACTGCTAAATTTGCAGATTAAATACAGTTGTGCTCAAACGTTTGCATACCCTGGCAGAAATTGCAATTTTGGCATTGATATTGAAAATAAGACTGATCATGCCAAAAAATGCTCTTTTATTGAAGGATGATGATCATATGAAGCCATTTATTATCAAATAGTTATTTGGCTCCTTTTTAAATCATAATAACAGAAATCACCCAAATGGCCATGATCAAAAGTTTCCATACCCTGGAATGTGTGGCCTTGGTACAGACACACAAGGTGACACACACAGGTTAAAATGACAATTAGAGGTTAATGTCCCACATCTGTGGCTTTTTAAATTGCAATTAGTATCAGTGTATAAATAGTCAATGAGTTTGTTAGCTCTTACATGGAAGCACTGACTGGGCTAGATACTGATAACTATTTGATAATACATGGGTTCATATGATCATCATCCTTCAATAAAAGAGCATTTTGGCATGATCAGTCATATTTTCAATATCAATGCCAAAATGTCACAATTTATGCAAGGGTATACAAACATTTGAGCACAACTGTACATATTATGGAGCTGTCTTACCTGCCAAATTATTTGTTTTTATGTCCTTCCAGTCCTGAGATTTACACAGCTCTGCCACAACAAACAGTCCTAAATGACAGGACAGGAGACTTGATTTTTTATATTGCAATAATACTTTTCCTTCTTCCACCCTGTGAGTGGACAGTGAAAAGAGAAGCAGCAGACTGAGGAGCTCACATCTTTGCCACCCTGCTTTCTCCTCGTTTCATCTCTCCCTTTGTTAGTACATCAGCTTCCCCCTCTCCCACCATAAACTAACAAAAGTTTCCAGCACATTTACCAGCTAGCTGGCAAGAAAACCAAATAGTCCCTGTCTAACAATTCACGTTAAAACAGAGGGTTTCGTTCTACAGTGCCCATGCCAAGGCTTCTGTGTGTACTGCGGTCCTAACTCTCTATATTTTCGAGAATCTCCAAGTTGGAGCATATATACCATGGATAAATTAAGGGCAGGTTTACCAGTAGGGAAATCACTCCTCCTTACAGGCACAGGGACACACTGGACACCCAGCGAGAGCACAAAGGCAGCTGAAGGCACCCAATGTGTCCCCATGCCAAATCCAGCAAACAAGCTATACAAAAAGAGGGCAACCACTGCAATTTATAACTAGCCCTTGCAGTAAGCTGCACATGGAGGGCAACACACATCATAAGCAAACAAAAACTGTCTAATAATTCACGTTAAAAAAGATGGTTTCATTGCACACATTTGCACATTTATATGGAAGCCTCTCCTAGTCTGAGCTCTGCTGTGCAGGGACTGTGACAGGCTGATATCAGGTCAAATTCAGGTACTCAAAAGTGCTCGCATTATAAAAAAAAATACATTTAATGATTTAATAAGTACAGAGCTGCATTATTTTGTGTTTTTATCTGCCTGGAGTTCAGCTTTAAAGTTATCTTAGATTTAGCCCAGTGGATAGATTCAGCTGGTCTCAGATTGACTTTCCTTGTTGCCAGGATTAGCTGTCTGAGCACCCATCAAGCATCACACTTATGGATTATAGTTCATTGAATGGAAGAGCAGTTTGGTACTGCAGACTGGAACTCTGTGCTTGTAAATGAGATAAAATGTTGTCCTTGTTTCCAGTGAGCAATTTATTCTTGCAGCTAAGCACTTTTTCTCCCCCTTTGTCTGTTAGGTGCGTCCATTGAACACAGATGGCTCTCTCAATCTTCTAGGATTGGAAACTGTACGGCTAATCTATTTCAAAAATAAAATGGCTGGTAAGTCTGTTATGTAAAATAATTGTGGACTTGTGTATGAAAGTGCTGAACCTGGGCATACAGCTCACGGAGTGCAGCTAGACCACTGAGTACAAGAGGTACAAATCTGTAGTATTGCAAAAAAGTATTGCAAATCTGCAGACAAAAATTAGTACCTCAGTTATTTGCACCACTTATATGGGCTACCTTAGGCTGGCCATATATGCCTCTTCTTTTTTTTTTTTTTTCGCTCAGCTAGAAGGCTGATCAAAAAAAACAAAGAAACAGATTCCCTCATTCACACATGGTGGATGGAGGAATCCTCCCCATTCTGCCATTGTACTGCCACTGTATTCTGACAGCAGGACTCCTTCTCTGTCAGAATACACTGATCAGTCGCTGCAGCTGGTAGATGGAAAAATATGTTCCAACAGTCCTATGTGACAGAAATCAATTGTGAAAGGCTATGGATGGATCGAAATCTGGTCAGTCCGTGCAGAACTGGCAGAATTTCAGTCCATCTATGGGCAGCTTAATCTTGTACCTGGAGGTGTCCTTTGTGTGTAGTCCCCCCCACTCAATGCAGCGGGTACTGTAAATCTGCCAGACAACCCAGTCAGTCTTTCTGCAGACTAAATTGCAGCAAAGTTATACAGCCTAGGACCCACCCAAGCATCTGATTGGACAGTAAAGGAACTAAAGCATGCTGATGAGGTCATCACTCTGCTCTAACCTCCTACTTGTATGCCTACTGTGTTTTACTGTTTGCACTGTACAATACAAGATAGCCCTGATTGTTTCCAAGTGCTGCCCTTTCCTTTCCCAGTCTTATTGCTAGTACAGGGGTTAGTATAGTCATGAGAGAATTACTCCAATAGCAGTAGTACAAGGGTTATTATAGTCATAAACAGGGGCGGACTGACAACTCATGGGGCCCCCGGGCAATAGGGGATCATGGGGCCCCTATGTCCTTGCCCAAACTCAAAAAAGCCTATGAAAAAGGTACCAGGGGCATCTCGTGGGGCCCCCTACTGACCCAGGGCCCTCGGGCAGAGCCCAAGTTTCCAAATGGTCAGTCCGCCCCTGGGCATAAATTGATTGCTCAAATAGTAGTAGTACAGGGAGTTCAATAGTCATGAATGATTTGTTAAGTGATGATATTACAGGGGTAGTATTGTCATTAATGGGTTAATCAGTAGTACATGGGGTAGTATATTCATGAGTGGGTTAATCAAGTAACAGTGGCAGAAGGCGAAGTATTCTAAATGGCTTAATCAGATAATGGCTTAATCAGATAGCAGTAATACAGGGGGGTAGAATAATCATAAATGTGTTAATCAGATGGCTGTAGTGCATGGGGTAATATAGTCATTAAGACAGCCCATACATTATTCTTTTTTTTTTTCATTCAACCAGAGACCAGTGATGGATGAGGGAATTCTTCCTGCTGAGTTATTGTATTCTGACAGTAGGGAGACTTCCCTGCCATCAGAATACACTGATCAGTGCTGCCGGCTATAGCCTGCGGCACTGAACGATCAGAAAAAAGCTGGCAAACTGGTTTTACAGAAGTCAGTCGACCCTGCTAAACTAGCCGAATTTCAAACTATGTATGGCTGGCTTAAGCAGTTAATCAGATGGATGTAATATAGGGGATAATATAGTAATAAATTGAATGATCTGAAGTAATATAGTAAAAAATTGATTCATCTTAATGAGTAATACTGGGGGTAGTACAATCATGAAAGGGTTAATAAGGTGTCAGTAGTACTGGGGTAGTACAGTGATGAAGGGATTAATGGGATGCCAGTAGCTTTGGCATAGTGCAATCATGAAGGGTTTAATCGGGTGCCTGTAGTACTGGGATAGTACAGTCATGAAGGGGTTACACGTATGGCAGCAATATAACCATGAATTAGTTAATCGAGTGGCAGTAGTACAGGCATATATGGTTCAATCAAGATCAATGGCTAATATCAATGATATTAAAATTTTTCCTTTGTATTCCCAGAAGGGGATGAGCTGGTAGTTCCTGAGACGTCAGACAACAGCCGGAAGCAAATGGTGAGGAACATCAACAATAAACGGAGGTACTCCTTCCGTGTCCCAGAGGAGGAGAGAATGCAGCAGAGGAGGTAACAGCCCACGGCCTGCATATCCAGCCTGTGTTAAAGCTTAGATCTGTTTTTTTAGTTATATAATATAGAATTTTCCGAACGGTCTCAGTGTGGAGAATCATGTTTCACCGACGGTAGACTTTTCATGTTCTCAGCCTGACCTGCTCTACCCACACTAACATCTAACTAGTATGCAGATTTTGGTGTGTTTTTTTTATCTAGATACTTGTTCCATGTCAATGCTGCAAAAGGTTATGAAGGCACTGGTCAGCCAGATAGCCAACATTTCCTTTCATTTTCTCTTGGCAGGTTTACTTTAGAGTATACCTGTGCTTCTGTAATCATGCACAAAAACAGAAAGTGACCAGATCCCTTTGTATCACTGTGTATTGTGACGTGATCTGATCTTCTTGCCCTGCCATTAGTTACAGAGTGTGATGGGACCAATAGGGAGGGGAAGAATATAAAGTGGTGGAATACACCACAACCAAGAAAATCTGGCCACTTTTTCACCTAATGGATACTTGAAACCCAACAATAAACTGCTCTTATTTGCTCCCTTTTTGTCTGGTATATAGACCATTAAAAGTGTTTCATCTGTTTGATAAGTGCAAAAAAATGGTAGTTGATCATGTCCAGAAATTTAGAACTAACCCTTGCACACTTCCTCCTAGTTCTCATCTTGAACCTCAGAAAAATGAGACCCTCTGTTGTAGAGATGAGTAAAGTGGAAGGGTTAGTAGTTCAGCAAAAAATAAAAACTTGGCAGAGCCAACAAAATGCTGCATTTAGTTATCTCCCAAATGGTGTTAGGATCTGTGTGAATTGCTGGAGGATCAACATGTATTTTTCTGTACTCGTAGGGTCTATTCTATTTGCAGCTACATGCACTTTAATGCAGTGCTTCGTAAGCTGGGCAGTTTGTATAAATGTGTTGGCAGGAGCCCAGTCTAACTTGTAGACACCCAGTTTGATTCATATTTTGGTTTATTTGCTCTTGATAGGAAACAGGTTGGCCTTTTTTGGGCCCTTCAAAGTCCTTTGAGTAAGAAATAAAATTATATAATTGGACTGATTTATAATCTAGGTGCCACATTCCCTGTTGTAACCTATCAATGTCATATCAAGTCATGTGACATTAAAGATATCAAGTTAACAATATAACCTGAATAAACGAAATGCTATAAAACGTACAGAATTTCATTTCTGTCCACATAAAATATTGTTTAAAATCACATATTGCAAAGATGCATGCCATTACAGGTTTTTATTTTTATTTCATACATATATACCATTGAATAACATAAACTTCAACCATCTCACAACCTCCTATGTGGCTGAATCAATTATTCGTATTGCATAAACTATTGTCATTCAGTTTTCCAGACGATACTATTGGAGGAACAGGCTTCTAAATGAATGACAGTTTCTTGAACATTCCCCCCCCCCCTCCTTCTTCCCAATCAACATACAATTACCATTTATCAACCAGATCATTTGTTTCCAAGAAATGCCTCATTTGAAACCCAGTGATAGTAGGATCGGCAGGCTGCTTTATCACCCTGCCTTGGAATTTGTTTTTCATGAGCCTGAGCATTATACGAACAAACACACCCCCAGTATCCCTTCCTATCTACTTATCTGCTGGCCACTTGGTGGTGCAGACCTTTAGCTGTGCTGAGAAACTGCTTGATTACATTCTAATAGCATGTTATCACGCAACTGATCAACAAGTTGCACAGCTAATCAGGAGCATGTACATCTAAAAGGATTCTGAAGATGTGTTCTTTCCTATATTGTGCAAAAAAGCAGTGCAATGACTGCCATAAACCCTAAAGATCACACCCAAACACAATGATGAAAAAAAATGATTGATGGCAGAGAATTCTAATAGCTGCGAGAGGCAGGCCACATCAGTACAGATGCAGAGGAGAGGAGATTGATGATGATAGAGGTTGTTGAGACTAGAAATGAAGACAAGCTCAATATAGTTGCTGCAGCTTCAAAATAATATATTGTGGAGATGCCAGTTTGCAGAGAGGTAATAGTAACCAGTTTCAACACAGGAGAAGAACTTGCTACAAGTGTGGGGAACAAGGTAAGGATTGGAGTTCAGCTTTATCTGTGCAGTGCTAAATAAAATGAGATCTGATTGGTTATTGTATGCCGTGGCACATTTGTGTTATCCCAGTCGTGTCAAGTTGTCGAGTTTCATTCCTCTTCTGTCTTTCCTGGTCCTCAAGGGAGATGTTACGAGACCCAGAGATGAGAAACAAACTGATTTCCAACCCCACAAACTTCAACCACATAGCACACATGGGTCCCGGTGACGGCATCCAGATCCTGAAAGATCTTCCTATGGTGAGAGACCACCTGGTGGTGAACAGGAGAGTGACACCTGTATAGTACAGAGCCCTTGTATGTGTTATATATATTATTACCTTATAGAAGACATCAGCCCTTGTTCAAAGGAACTTACACTCAAATACCATCCACACTCATAGTAGAGTCAATGAAAGTGTATCTAAAGTGAAACTTCAGTGTGGGTGGGTTAAACTCCTTGTCAGTTTTTTTGTGTCTTTGTCCCTTTGATATTCCCCCCTTCTCTATTTGTCCTGGTGACCATTGTCACTGGAACTGAAAGTGATGGGAAATCCAAAATTATACCGTTGTCTCCAAAACAAGAGGAGAGGTAAATCTTAGATGAGAACTACCCTCAATTTGTGGAGATATGTTCTCACTTCCTGTTGCGTATCCATCACACAAAGTAAAGGACAACTTCCACAGGAGAACAACAAATTAATTGACAGAGGTTTTAACCATCCCCCTATTCTGTCTACCATGAAAAAAATGATTTGGCTATATATACAATGTAACTAACCATATGCTTCTGGAGGAATCCCATGTACACTTGGGGAGATCATACAAACTCCATGCAGACTAAGGCTGGCCATACATTACACAATTTTCTTGAGATTTTTGGTTTAGATTTACCAAAAACCATATAATAGGAGGTCAAACCTAACAACACTTTCAACTGTATCCAATTAGGCAGGCTCTTGCACTACATAGTTGAAGGTAAATCTAAAGGAAATTGGGCAGCAGAAAATTGTATAGTGTATAGCCAGCCTAAAACTGGAGATTGAAAATCTGGTGCAGCTGTTCATAGTAACCAATCAGCTTCCAGGTTTTATTGGCAAAGCTTAATTGAAGAAGCTGAAGTTAGAAGCTGACTATCATGCACAGCTGCATCAGATTCTGAGTGCTCCAGTGTTAGTAAATCGACCCCTATGTCTTGGGGTATTGATGCAGAACTGCATGGCAAGATGGCAGACTCCTTAATGGCCAGTCTGCCCAAAAAGACAAATATAAAAGTTGTGAATGACTGTAGAATTGTGAGCTGAACTTTTCCTGCCACCCCACACATAGGCTAAGTGAGTCTGCCAGGTAGAAAGGGGCATTGATCTGTGGAAACAGTGCTAACCACGTAGGCACCGTGCTGTTTACTCTTAATTGGAAATCCAAATGTTCTTATATTTCCTTTTAATGGAGAAAATGCTGCTTTAGATTGCCTTCAGTGCTGCTCACATCTCTGTGGAACCAGAGGATTGGCATAGAGTGTGGCTGATCCTGCCTTTCCAGAGGGACCACATGACCACTCATGAAGGTTGCCTGGAGCAGCATTTTCTCCTGAAAAGGTGTGCATTTTTATCTTTCAATGCATCTCATTAAGACTGACAACATATCTTAAAGTTAACATTTATATACAGCGATTGGCCATAACTTTTATGACCATCCACCTTACATTTGGAAGGTCCTCCTTTTGCTGCCAAAACAGCCCAACCCACTGAGGTATGGACACCACTAGACCTCTGAAGGTGTGCTGTGGTATCTGGCACCAGGATCAGGAGCAGATCCTCTAAGTCGGGGGTCAGCAACCAGTAGACCTTGGCCAGGTGACTGTTACATCTTGGTCTGGGCTTGCTGACATGCCATACTGGAGCAATGCAGAGGAACTACTTGTAAAGTTAGAGTTGCAGTAGGGAACAAGAGCCACTTAAGCTGATTTCTCCTCTGTAGTGCTGGCTCCTACAACCTGTCTTGGTTGGTGGGTAGGGTTATCACCTCATCCCTTTAAAACCGAACACATATTTTTTACATAGGTTCTGGGGCTAATTTAATGCACATAAGGCACTAAGTGAGTTTAATTACCACCTTAATCAACCACAGAACCTGTGTAATTAATATGTGTTTGGTCTCAAAGGGATGAGGTGGCAACCCTATTGGTGGGTGTAGCACTAGCCAAGCATGACCCATTCAAGTGAATGAGGCTGCTCTGTAATTGCCATGCAACCTTGTGCAGTACAGAAAACAAGGAGTTAAACATGCAGTGGTGTGTTGCTTTCTCACCACCTGCTTTAAGCCCTTGGACCCCGCAGAAGCATGCAGTTGCAGGGCACTTGCAGAGAGGCCCCATTTACTTGAATAGGACTTAGTTGACAGGTGGTAGCACCCACCAAAAGTAACAAGGGGTGTAATTCCTGTTGCGGCATGTGTACACCTTTGGCTGCTGCCTCAACAGCTAAAGGGGGTAAGGGATTGGAGAGAGGTAAAACCGTGATTCAACTACAGGGTTTTACCCCCCCCCCCCCCCCCAAATTTTACACGTGAACAAGCCCTTACGGTGCCGCTGCCAGTTGCAACTAAAGGCTCATTCACAGGTGCAGTAGGCACTGCTGCTCCTCTGCAAAGCGTTTGACAGGTGGTGAGGAGGCGATATGTTGCCTCCTCGTCACCTGATTTAAAACCCATGATTGCCGTGCAATGCACACGATTATGACATCGTAGTACGGCAATTAGAGGTTTAAATTAGGTGTGAGGAGGCAACACTGTGCCCGGTGATCTTTGACTTCTCCCATGTTGTTCAGGTAGATCTCCACCTCTTTAAGATTGCTTACCACTGCTCTAAATCCTGTAAGTTGCAGTGCAGGGCCTCAATGGATAGGACTTGGTTTTCCAGAACATCCCACAGATGCTCAATGGATTGAGTTCTGGAGAATTTGGAGGCCAAGCCATCACCTAAAACTCATTGTTGTGTTCTTCAAACCATTTTTGCAGTGTGCATTATCCTGCTAAATGAGGCCCCTTCCATCAGGGAATACCATCTCCATGAAGGGGTGTACTTGGTAACCAGTAATGTTAGGTAGGTGATGCATGTCAAAGTAACATCCACATGAATGGTAGGACCCAAGGTATTCCAGCAGAACATTGTTGCCCAAAGTATCACATTCACACTGCCTCTGCTGGCTTCCTTTCTTCCCATAGTGCATCCTGGTGCCGTCTCTTCCCTAGGTAAGCGATGAACACGCACCTGGCCATGCACATGATGTAAAAGAAAATGTAATTCATCAGACGACTTCCATTGCACCATAGTCTGATGCTCATGTGCCCATTGTAGGCACCTTTGGCTGTGGTCAGCATGGGGGCCCTGACCAGTCTGCATCTATGCAGCCCCCATACACAACATGCTGCAATGCCCCTTTTTATAGGCTTTCAACACATCAATTTCAATGACATGTTTATTTGCTGCCTAATATTTTCCACCCACTTTTGCCATTGTAAAAATATATTCAGTTTTACTCACTTAACCTGTCAGTGGTCAGAAAAGTATGGCTGATCAGTGCATAGGTTAATGGCTACTTCCCACCCCCTTACCAGCTGATGACTGAGATAATACTCATTTGATCCTACAAAGCTGGTGTTATTGCCAGTCTTATTGCTGCCCCATGTCGCTGAAACATCCAGTGCAGGGCTAGTGCACACTACTGGTCCTGCTGGGTACCTATTTACATGAGTACTTGCCCAGGACCAACGAGCGGTGGATAAGATTGTTGACTGCTGTGGGGTCGTACGTAAAACAAAGTGTTTCTTTTTGCTCTATCTGTACCTGGTGGAGAAAGTTCCTGTATTCCCTTCTCCTATCCCTATTCCTCTGTATTAGATCAACGTTTTCTCCTCTCCTAAGGAAGCCCATAGCTTATGCAATTTCCTTTCCTTTAACCATGGATGGAAAGAAAGTAAATCAGATTCCCCTATCAATATAGTCCAGTGTTGATGGGGTAATCCCTCCCGCAAGCGTTATTGTGTTCTGCCGGCGGGGAGCCTTCCCTGCCGGCACAACACAATGACAAGTGTTGCCGGCTATAGTCAGCAGCCCTAATTGTTTGGGAAAAACCCGAGAGGCTGGTTGCACACAAGTCGATCGATGAATGGTGGGTCATAGGGACAATGTACTCTCCAACTAAAACTGTTTAGAAAATAGTTTTGTATAGAGTAGAATCTGTTGTCAGCTGTCTGTTTCCACATTTCAGAGATTTCCTGCTTATTTCCTGTTCTGAAGACAAGATGGCTTAGAGGGTGGGAGGGTCAGGACATTTCTCCAATGGGACATTTTGCTGTTAGTGGAGTAGGGAAGGAAGAGTCATAAGCTATATGAGGTTCTTATTTTTTGCCAATCTCTTCCTGTCCTGGTTACACCCTTTCCCCCTATTTATTGTCCTGCTGTCCCCAGGACAGAAAGGGAGGAAAAATCTCCCCACCAGAGACACAGACAAGCATTAAAAATTTGACAAGAGTATTTACTTTTCCCTACATTTAAGCTAAAATGTTTAAAAATTGATTTCCGCATTAAAAGTTGGCAGGCTTCATATTGTATCAATAAAATTTTGGTTGGAGTATGAATTCCAACATTAAAGCAGAGCTCCATTCAAAGAACAAAAAAAATCAGCTACAAAAACTGTAGTTGCTGACTTTTAAACATCAGCCCCTCACCTGTCCCATGATCCAGTGGTGTAGTCACCGCTTCCGGTTTCACTGGCCGTCCTCGCTCCCCGGAACCGGCACAGGGGACCAGTACTTAAATCAAAACTTCTCCTTTTTGGGTGGAGCTCTGCTTTAACTTGAGCAAGTCCACCAAGCATCCTTTTCTCTACTCTCGGGACCTCTAATCTTAGTTTTGATCTATGCTGATTAATGTTGAGCTGCTGGTCAGATGTCGCCACAAAACACAGAGTCCAACCAATCCACTACGTAAATTTTTTATCCATAGGCGACACTTTAAAAGCCTTTACAGGTTACCACTTTAGATATACACAGGAGGTCTGGTGCTACAATTACTGCTTTCAATATGACATTTGCGGTGAAACGTCACATGGATCGATCGCTGTTTGCTCTGTGCAGGACCAATGCGTGTGTTCACCTTTTTGTGTGAACTCGGAGGGACGGGGGCACTTTAACAATTTTTTACAAAAATGAATTATTTTTAATATGTTCCTTTATTTTTTATCACATTTATTGTTATC